ACACACACACACACACACACACACACACACACACACACACAAACACACATGGTATGAGGATGGAATGAGAAAGAGAGAGTTTGGGGATGTTGGGAAACACACACACGCAGCATGCGGCAAATAGTTTCACACACTTAAACTGTTTTACTCCCTCCCAGCATGCAGTAGTAGGGTTTGCGATGACCTGAGGTTGTGGTATTGACAGCTCCCTTCGCTTCCTACTTCTCAGACTGATTGCACTGCATCTTCTTTATTTCTGCTGTTGTCTCCCAGAGAGAACACTTGCGTTCTGATTGATTAGGAAAGAAACCTCTGGCCAGCTGGCAAATTGCCTATGCACTCAGGGAAAGATGGAAGCAACAGCTTATTGAAAAGTTGGAAAACCTGAAATCACAGTCATAATGCTTACAAAGGCTGTGGGACATCCGTTAAAACTGAAATGATACATTGGCCCCTTTGTCAAAGATAACACACACAAATCAAGGAACTGTGTATGCATATCCTGGTCCTCCTGGCGACAGTATCTTGGCTTTGTGTTTGCATGTGCAGGGCCCATGCTAGCTTTCTCTTTGATGCTCGAATCTTAGAAGATGTCCCAAAAGACCTCCCAGCAAATTAAATAATAAATACTGGTTTCAATCTGCCATCGTCATGGAACTTTAAGTCACTCTCTATAATTCAATTGGATTACCAAGAGTCCCTCTGTCACTATGTACCATCCTGCAGAATCACAGCCAAGGGAACAGGCTTGGAAGCATCGTCGGGGAAAGAAGGCTCTGTTGATAGTGACTCTAGCTCACCTCTGTGAAATGACTTGCGAGGTGTAAAATTAGTGGGCGCTTTGAGGCGCAAGTGAAATACGCCTGTACCCCTACTTTAACGTTGTTTTAGTTACTTCGTGAGGTCTGGAGTCAAGCTGCAAGCCATCGTGGCCTTTAAAAACCCAAAAAAAGGGATTGTATCTAGTATCTACTGATTCAACTTGTCAAAACTCGATGCAGCAGTTGCCATTGCAATCAAGCACTGTCTCACTGCAAAGATCCGGCGGCGACCGGAGAGCAGTGTTCAAGACGCGCCTTCGGCCCTGGCATTCGACTCGCCAGAGTCATTTTGGAAGGATGCACTGTGGTCGCTATGTGGACGAATTGCCGATTGGAGTCATTGCCTTGATTGTCTGGAGGGCAGTACTAGATTGCTCCCATGCTTTCCACTTCTTGATAACATCGGAATCAAAACCCAAGTGTCTTCTTTGCAGACGTAACTGACCATGTTATCTGCTACCTGTCAGTCCAGTTGTGACGTTTGGGTCTCCCTTCTGATGTGCAGTCAAGTGTTGTTGCTTCCTGAAAGTAACCAGTGGTTACTTACTGAATGAAAGTTACTAGTGGTTATTGACTGAAAGTAACCAGTGATTACTGACTGAAAGCAACCAGTATAGAATCTGTAGATTTGATAATTATATTAAAAAAAAAAATCGCATGATGAAATTGAGGATTTTTTCTTACACGAATTTCGGTAGGCTGTTTTTCCGGGTGCCCGGGCACCCAACTTGTGCCCGGATACACGCCTGGGTGCCTGGCCGGGCATGACCTCCGGGCAGGGTTCCAGGCAGCCCCAGCGCAAAAAAAAAAACAAACGAAAGTAAAAAAATTCCAGAAAAGAAAATATGTTGTGTAGAATTGCAATATAAACAACTTTTGCCTGAGGGTCACATCAGAATTCCTCACCGAATCGGAGATAAAAAAGAAAATAACAAAATTACACCAAGGCACCCCCCTTTAACCCCCTTAGCCCCTTTAAAATAAATTTATACCCCCCTTCCCCCCCCTCGACTGCCAACTCTTAAAAAATGCAAAGAGCCCGGATTTGGGGTCCTCTGAGAGAGCACAGAAAGGCTTTTTTTTTTCGTTGTTTTTTTTTTTTTTTTTGCACGCCCGGGTGCCCGGCCGGACATGAAAATCTTCCTAGCTATTTCGGCCAAATTTTAGATTTTCCATGAATGAGCATATTACATCCCAAGGACAGCTTATGCTCAATCTAAATGCTCTCAAGACAGTCTCTTAGATGTATCTAGGCGCTTTTACGGCCACATGAGCATATGCTCCTCTGAGGATGATCAAACCACAATTCCCTTCCGTCGTAACATGCTAGGTCACGTGACGTCTTTGTCTAAAAATGGTTAAAATTTTTGAAGCTCAATTGTGCCATGCGAAAAAGTATATATCTCAAATTTAACGAAATGTCAGCTTAGTGGTTACTGAAATCAACCTTAGGAGAAGTGTTGGTTATACACTGAAAGTACCCATGGGAAAACCATCAGTTACTTCACACTACCACTCTTGCTGTGTGACCAAGAAAATTCCCAGTTGGTAACAGGTAGGCCCCAACTGGGGCTCGTAAAACGGGCCCGGCACAGGTTCAGCCGCAATGCACATTGACAACGGTCCCCAGCCAGGTTTAGTTCGGATAAGGGCTCAAGCTTTTTTTTTCTTTTTTCGAAACACCGGCAGTCGCAGATAGGAGTGATGGTACGAGCACACACTCCTATCTGCTCCGCCAATGGCTCAAGCTTGAGGTCTGGCAACAAGAAAATGGGTGGTGGTTTAAGGGGTAACCATTGGCTAACGCGTTGGTTACCTCCAATGAGAAACCAATGGTTACTTTCTTAAGTTTCTTTCAGTGCGTGACCGATGGTTAAAGTTTGAGAAGAGCCTGGTGGTTACTTCTGGTTGAGGGTGTGGCGAGAAGAATCAGTACAATAGTACTACAACTCCTTTTTCCCTCCTGCTCCTTTTGATCTTGACTGTGATGAAGGTGCATGCAGGTACGACTCGCCTCCTCCTTTTGATCTTGACTGTGATGAAGTTGCATGCAGGTACGACTTGACTCGTCTTCTGATAGGGAGTGAAGGGACGTTGGGAGTGATCACAGAGATTACGCTAAAGCTGCAGCGCATCCCTGAAGCATCAACGGTAAATTTTCAGTTTCCTGCATGAACACGTCTCTACGTTCTTGGGATTCTCACCTTTTGGCCATGCAGATAAATAGAAGTGGGCAAATTACTGAAAAACAAAGCAATTTGATGAGCAAATCCTGAGATGGAAAAAGTGGACAAACCACAGTTTTAAACTCCTTAAAAAATGTCCTTCAGAAAGCACTTTGACCGAGACTCCGTTAGTAGAAAATGAGCATGGCCCCTGTGCAAGGATGACACACACATATTGAGAAAGTGTCCAAAACTTTTGATCAGATCCTCTTGAACAAAATAGCAGCAAGAGATCCTTGTTGGTGATCATCTATTTCCTCAAGGGGGAAAAACAACATCCTCAGAAACAACAACAAGAAGGATTGTCGCAGGGAATTAGCAGGGGTTCTAGAGATCCTTGTCTCAGTGGGTCACAGTGAACCTGTGAGGGTTTGGCTTTTGGGGTCATCAGTGCCTCTAGAGGCTGATCGGTAAAGGATATAGCATGGCTTCAAACGGCGGTCTTGTGTGATTAAGAAATGAGGCAATCTCAAGCAGGGGCAAGGGGTGGTACATCCTTCCACAGGGAAGTAATCAATGCCATTCGCTCCGGCCTTCAGCCATCATGGGGAGGAGCGTGAGTGCGTTCAAAATGTTCTGTGATTCCTGACTTGCCGGTGGAATAGGAACTGAGCTATGCTCCCGAGAATGGAACGGAGCCAGAACCGAGAGGTTCTGTTGTTCCCCCCCCCCCCCCCCCCCCCCCCCTTCCCAACAACAACAACAACAACAACAACAACAACAACAACAACAACAACACAACAACAACAAGGATTACGAAGTCGGTCATCTTCTAGCGTGATGTTAAAGAACTCACAGTTGTTCTTTTGATGTTAGAATAATTGCTCCATCTTGGGTGGTCTGTTGATAAGCTTATGGAAATTGAATTGCTAAGGAAAGACTGATGACAAGCCAAAATGATGCTGCAAAGATCAATGATATCCAAGTGAAGCCAGCGGGACATAATGTTGAACCAGACACTCTCGTTTTTTTTCTTTCTAATAGTGACCTATGAATCTAGGCTACCAGTCGGGCCGCCCGGGTCACCTTGTTTGGCCGGGTGGCCCAGCCGTGCAACGACCAGCGAAGGGCACAGCGAAAAACAGAAGAAAAAAAAGTCTAAAAAATCTGGAAAAGAAAAACTATGTGATGTAAAACTGAACGACTTTTGCCTCAGGGTCACATCGAAATTCTTTACCAAATTTGAAATCAAAAATAAAATTGGATTTTTTTATTTTTATTTTTGCCCGGCCGGGCAACTTGCCCTGAGCCACTCTGGTAGCCTAGCTATGAACGTAATTGCGGTAAGATTCATCCGGGATCAACTGTACAAACTCGAGATCCGGCAGGACGATCGCTACAAGACCGTGTTTAAAACGCGATATGGGCATTTCGAATGGCTGGTTATGCCTTTTGGCCTTACGAATGCCCTGGCCACATTCCAAGCAGCTATGACAACGGAGTTCCGACACATGGTGTACAGATTCGTACTCATCTACCTCGACGATATCTTGGTGTACAGCCGGAGTTTGGACGAGCATGTGGAGCACCTGCGCACCGTTTTGGACTGGCTACGACAAGCCAAGTACAAAGCCAACCACGACAAATGCGAATTCGTGCAGTAAGAGCTCGAGTACTTGGGCCATTATGTGACGCCGCAAGGCATCCGTCCGCTTGCGGACAAGATCGAGGCCATCCGCGTATGGACCGAGCCCACCAACACCATGGACGTTCGCTCATTCATGAGGTTGGCGGGCTACTATCAACGCTTCATCACCGGGTACTCAAGGATTGTCGCACCTATGACGAGATTACAATCGCCAAAGGTGCCATTCGTATTCGATGACGACGCACGCCGGGCATTCCAAGCACTCAAGACGACCATGCTCATGGCACCCGTCCTTAGCATCTACGACCCCACCTTGCCGACGAGAGTGACACTTTCGGCTATGGCATTGGGGCAGTCTTGGAACAGCACGACGGCGATGATTGACACCCCGTTGAGTATTTCAGCCACAAAGTGTCTCCTATCAGCTCACTTGATGATGCAAGGAAGAAGGAGCTACTCGCGTTCGTGATGGCTCTTAAGCGCTGGCGACACTTCCTTCTTGGGCGTCGTAGGTTCACATGGGTCACGGATAACAACCCATTGACCTACTACAAGACGCAAGATACAATGAGCAGCACCATCGGGCGATGGATGTACTTCATCGACCAATTTGACTTCACACCGAAACATCTCACCGGCCTCTCCAATCGTGCAGCAGAGATGCACTCTTGTGAAGACTCGATATTTGCGGAATGACACATCATGCCTTCGCAATCGACGAGGAACTCCAACGGCATTTCATTCGGTGCTATGAGTCGGATCCGGATTTCCCCACGCTATATGCACAGCTATCTTCGGATCACCCGCCGACCAACAATTATCGCATCGTCGGCGGGTACTCGTTTCTCCATTCGCGAGGCAAGGACTTATTGTGTGTCCCACAAGACCGTCGTCTCCGGACTCGCCTTCTTGGCGAGTACCACAACTCGCAACTCGCCGGCCATTTCGGAGTCAACCGAACAATTGCAAGACTTTGGCACAAAGATGAAACCAAGTTCGGCTCGGCATCCATAAACGGACAGGCAAACGGAGTGGGCACATCAAACCGCTCAAATGATGCTTCGTACGCTCATCCGTCCGGATCAGAAGGATTGGGTTGACCGCCTCCCCGACATCGAGTTCACCTACAACACTTCGTTGCATCCGGCAATCGACGTGCCTCCATTCGAGTTGCACGACGTTGGCCGGAAAGGCCGTATCTTCGTCGATCTTCTCCTCCCACGAACACCCGACATAGACGCTGCTTGCTCCCCCGCTTCCATCCGGAAGTACAAGGAATTGTTGGCTCAAGCCCGCACGAACATGCAAAAGGCTCAAGTCCGCATGTAGCAGCAAGCCAACGGGCGTCGCATGCCATGTCCCATCCGGGCCAGTGATCTGGTTTGGGTCTCCACGAAAGAGTTTGCACTCGAGCAGGATGTTTCGTGCAAACTACTCCCCAAGTGGTTTGGACCATGGCTCGTAACATCAGCCGTGGGCGATGAGCCTGATGGCCCCTCATTTGTGATCAACATCCCCCCACATTTGACGGTCCATCCAGTCTTTCACGCCTCGAAGCTCGCCACATATACACCAGCTAAGAGCGACGACTTCCTGGGCGGACGATCGCAAGATCCTCCATCTATAGATGGTCATCAGGAAGTTGACCGCGTCATCACGGATGGCAAGTACGACAACAAGCCTCGACAGTACAAAGTTACCTTCAAAGCATGCGATCCGGACGACACTCGATGAATTTCAGGAGCTGATTTGAAAGCATCCGCACCGCTGATCTACGCTCACTACGAACGACAAAGGTTAGCTAAGGGAGCTTCACAACCTGCCCCTCCCACCCGGAGTTTGTTCCCTCCCTCAGAAAGACAGCTTCGCCCTCGCAGGTAAGCTTGGTCTTTCAAGGAGGGGGGAGTGTGGCATACTGCGCAGCCACACCGGCCTGCAGGGCCCGACCAGCGTTCTCAGCCTAAAAGCCTGAAAACAAGGGCCTACAGGCCCTGTGTCGTTTCAGCCTAAAAGCCTGAAAACAAGGGCCTACAGGCCGTGTGTCGTTTCAGCCTAAAAAGGCCCTCCAGGCCCTGAGTCTTTTCAGCCTGAAACGGAGGGCCATTTTCAGGCCCTCATAAGATCGACCTGCCCTGACACTTAGGCACCAGACCAGGGTTTTAGCACAGGCCATTTTTGGCCTGTTTTCAAGACAACCTTTGTTTGAACTTCAACACCAGGGTCTGGCACGTTTTGGCATTGGCAAGAGCAGCCTCCTGGAAGGCCCGGCACTATATAAGACTGGCCCGCCCTACAGGCTGCAGGTAGTCACGAGGTAGTTCATAGGGACTTCCCAGACACTTCACGTGCAGGAGGCAGGAGGCAGGAGGCAGTCTTCAGGATTCGGCAGCAGCACTCTGGAGGAGCGCTGCAGTAGTAGTAGTAGTAGCGTTAGCAGTAGTCTTCAGCGCTGGGCGCTATTAGGAGCTGGAGTAGCGTTGGAGAGAGAGAGATGGTTGGCGGAGGCCAGGGAGACTTACCTGTGGCGCCATAGCTCCTGCTTCGTCTTCGATGTACCTGCAACAAGGCGCCAGCTTCACAGGTTAGTACTGGATTGAGAGAGAGAGAGAGAGAGAGAGAGAGATTGGTGACTTTGGGACTTGACGACATTTGGATCCAGACTCAACATTGGGATTCAGACATTTGACGAGGGATTGTTTGGGACCTGTACCGAAGACTTGGTGTTGACGACACCCCATCTTCCCCTCTTCGTCGTCTAACCCCCTCTTCTTCGTCTGTGTATGGTTGGGGACTGGCGTATTCTTCCTGTGTGAACGCCAGGCCCCTTCACACCATGGACTGATGATGATGTATGTTTGGTCTGCATTGCAACGTTGGTTGGGCTGATCATTGGTATTTACTATTTAAGCCTTCCGCTGTGCTATCCTGTACTATGTGAGAGAAGTCGGTTCTTGTTCTGGTCTGTATCATTACGGTATGCGACATTCCAACTGAAAAGAGGCATAACGGAGTATAATGAAGTAGAGTGCATAAGCACCTGTACTAACATGCAATGCTCGAATATTATCACAGAGTGAGAATCGGAGTGAGAATCGGCACCTCATTCTCGTTCCCAGGCCACGGCAGGGTCTTATTCCAATTCTTCTTTGGGTCGATAAGAAACGGTGTTTGACAACTAGTAGTTGTATCATCTGGTGTGATGTTTCTTCTTCTTCTTCTTCTTCTTTCTGGTTGCATGTTCTCTGTCAAGTTTTGACTTGTTTTCATAATGTTGTTTGTTGCTTTTGTTTACCGGTTGGCTTTTGCTTCATTTTGCTTTCACTGTTAAATTCAATTTGCTCTAGTGTTTTTTTGCTGTCATCAATGCAACATTCTATTAGTTTGTCTGTTAAATTTTGTTTGGCTCAATCAATTTACATGTCTTTGTTTAGTTTGTTTATGTCTTTGTTTCTATGTTCGCTGGTGCTTTTGTTGTATATGTGCACTTTTTGTGTGTACAGTTGTCCTATTTTCATTTGCAGAAGGGTGAGACCGGAATGTCCAGCAAGAATGTTGTAGCTTTTTCATTTGCCCATCGCGTCCTCCACGGGAGTAAAGACTCACATAATGTGCAATAATCTTCTACATGAATGGTGTTTTATTTTCACGTTTTTGCTGGAGCAGGTGGCCATGTGTACGTTTCCATCCATTAAGGATGCTGCTGATGTGGCAATTGCAACGATGCATGCGGGTATCCAGGTGAATGAGTAAAGATCCTTTCCTGTAATGGACTCCCTTGGTGTTTTATTTTCACGTTTTTGCTGGAGCAGGTGGCCATGTGTACGTTTCCATCCATTAAGGATGCGGCTGATGTGGCAATTGCAACGATGCATGCGGGTATCCAGGTGAATGAGTAAAGATCCTTTCCTGTAATGGACTCCCTTGAGGCTTGGACCAACCCCCCCCCCCCCGTGACAAACCTCATCCCTCGAAAAGACTATGCGCATCCACACTTCATTCACAAGCACAATCGCGACAAACCTACTGTGATAGTCATATCTAAATTAATAATTTATTAACATTACGTCTCAGTGGTCAAGCACTGCTGCCGGTGCTTGGACCCCATTCACCGCTCTTTTTACACATTCCCATCATTCCCTCCGTTAAACCACCAGTACTTCCTAAAGTTGTGGCCGTATACAGGCCACGATTTTAGGAAACATGCGGGCCACTACAGGAGCACCCAAATTCATCCGACTGGAAACGTTTCTACTCTATTTTTGTATGCGGCCGATAGCTGGGCCAAGCACTGGAGGTTTAAAACACCACTTCACACGAGCCTAAGTTGCCAAAGCTACCTTGCAAGGCGCACAAGCTTCCAACTGTGACTTTTCATAGTGGCCTTCCGTCTTCAATACCGGCCCATGCCCAAATCAAAAAGATCCTACCATCACTACCGGCCCACGCCCGAATCGGAAAGCTCTTGCCATGTATACCGGTGAGATCTCAACTTCAACCCGGGTGAACTGATGGTTTTAATTTGGTTTAAAAGAATGCGCACATCCGCACTTCACTCAGAGGCACACTTGCATCAAACTTGGGCAGTACACATGTTTATCAAATTTAATTTAATACATTACTAGACCACCTTTTTTCAGTGGTTAAGCACTGCTGGATGAGCCTGAACCACATGCCCCCCTCGTCTTACGCTTCCTGTCCAGTAAACCACGGGTCCATCTCTTTTTTTTTTAATTTTACGAAGCACTGTGCTGCCGGACGATTAGAAAAACAAACCGTCGAGGTCGCAAAATTGCCAGGCTGCGCCTGCCTTTCCAGCGGTTATGCACTGCTGGATGAGGGTCGACTGCATGCCCCTCTCTTTTTACACATGCCAATGATGCCATCCCTTAAAGAATGCGCACATCCACACTTCCTTCAGAAGCAGACTTGGGGCAAACTGGAGCAACACATATTTCTTCATTAAACCACTAGTACACAGCCCCAGTCTTGCAGTCCGAAACTTGTCGCCACAAGAAAACGAGGCCGAAACGTCAAACGCTGGGCCTGCCGTTGATAAATTGGATAGGCAGTAGCGTTTTCGTTTTGCGCTTCCAGAATTTGAGGTGTCAGGTCCGCGGCCCAGGTGCCCATGTAGGGCTGCTTTAAACCACCACTACATTTCCCATGCAACATCGAGAATGGAACATGTGTAACATTGCAGGTTCTTTGGAGGCACGGGGCTACCTGAGCCCAATGACCGATGGGGCCAACCAAAAGGGAAAGGGGGAAAGAACAAAAAAATGCCACGCAGACACTTCGGCAAAGCTTGACCCGCAGGGGGGATCCGCCTTGGCATCAAGAGACTTGGGGATAGTTGTAGTTTAAAGTTTAAACCACCACCACTACCGAAGAAGCGATTTGTCAAATGGACTCAAACCAACAATTTTCAGTGCCGAACATATTACACCAGCCGCAGGTGGGCAGATACATTGAAAATGTGGACTCCGTATACACAAAGGTGCCGTTAGTGGTGGTTTGACATGCTGGGAGCAACTTTTTTCAGTGGTTATGAATTGCTGAATGATGCGGTCATAGACATGCACACCAGTTTTCACAAGACAATGGTATATCATGTATAACGAGAAAGAAGAATAAATCAAAGGTGGTGCTCTAGTAATGTCAACGCGGCGCTCTATATGTGGTCTTGTGGCTGGGGTTTGTCAAAGGCACGCAGGGGGAGAACCTGTGTCACACGCGCTCCCTGTGTGCTTCAGGCGATAGTGCTCCTGGTCTTGTGTGCGGTAATGGTCCATGGCCTCAGGCAAGCGCCATCACATGGCACATGTGAATAAACTTTCATTTGGAGTGCAGGTGTGAATTAAGGGTATTGATTTTGGGTAAGTGCCTATGAATATAACTCTTCATATGGAGTGCAGATGTGCACCAAGCGTAGTGAATTTTGCGTGAGTGTTGATCAATCCGTCTTTTCTTGTACCGTGCAAGTCGTATGTTAAGCAGATTCCGGCTCAGCCACGCGCTCATGGGGAATGTCGCACTCCGTTCATTAGTGTACTCTTATCGGAGTTATCTCGTTGGATTTTGGAACGAGGTCTTATTGACAACGCATACATGCAGAATGCGCCAGAAGGGGTCATGCCTTTCAACTGCCTTTTAGTTAAAATTGAAATATCTTACTTTTTGGCATGGCAAAATTGTATTTTTTTTCAGCGATTTGGGCCAGATTTTGGATGTATCACGAACATGGTCGGTTCACTCATTGGAGGATGATCAAATCACAACACCCTTCGAAGCTCAATTTCGTCACGCCAGCAACATATTTCAATTTTAAGTAAAAGGCAGTTTTTCCCTGTGGAAGGGTGAAAGGGTGTCATCCAACAACCCATCATGCTGCTAGCTCTCCATTGACGACAAATCGGTTCAGCTGGGATCTCGATCCAGAATGTACTCACTCATGCCATTGTGGATGTATACATGCCGTTCTGGCTTCATGAGTGGGTTGAGGGAGTTTCGTCGACGCATTAGATTGTACTCGCACTAAAATTTTTCAACGGCATGTGACTGCAATTATGGCCAGACCCGTTCGAGAAAGGCCTTTTGCGATTCCTGTTGGGGGTCAAAATAGGGCAGTCTCTGTATTGGACCAGACAGATAGCTTTTGTTCAATTCACAATTTAGATTTATGTGTGTTGTGTATCCGGGGCAAGACAATAACTTTGGGCAAGACGGTAACTTTGGGCAAGATGGTAGCTTTGGGCAAGATAGTAGCTTTGGGCAAGATAGAAGCTTTTGCAAGGGACCTGACTGTCCACAACTTGCCAGAGTGTATCACAATGCATGCCACGTTACCAATCACACAGATTATGAACCATCACACAGCACAAAGTAGAGATGAGATGTGAACCAAGATGTGCAGCTTATATTATCTCCAACACATTATAAGAGTATCTCGAGTTCAAGAACTAACAGTGCGATATGTCTCTCCTTCTCACACAACTGCAATGTGAGGCCTGGCTCATCCAGCGCCCTCTCTCAACAACAAGTTAAACGCAGAACAGGTATGTCTCCACCATAGCCAACATCGTACACCTGTCCCTTCCTCTCTCTCTCCCTCAAGTTCTCTGTCTCAGTTCTCTTCTCTCATCATGCACGCACACTCCTTCTACGAGAATCTACTTTGAATGCTACTCACTGAAGACTAACTACTAACCCTCTAACTACATTAACTAGTTGGGGCAGCTATGGCTGCTACTTGCAAACCAGCGCCCAGCCTTCTTCCTCTCTTAGCGCAGCTTCTCCTGCCAGCGCTCACCCAGCCAGCCAGCGCACAAGTGCCTTCAGCACTTCCACGCCAGAATGCCACTGGGGATCTGTCTTCAAGGGAGGCTGGCCTGCTTCTTTATACTGCTGGCCTCCCTTTGTGAGGTCTGCATTGGCACCTTTGGGCCTCCCTCAGTCCCAGACCTCTGCATGGTGTATGTCCCAGTCCCTAACCTCAGGGGTCACTGCTGCTGCGGCCTTCAGGCCTTAATTTCGGACTTTCAGTCTGTATCTAGACTCTCCCTTTGACTTGAATCTTGACTGGGACTTTATCCTTTGGACTTCTTTTGAACAGACACACCTACTGCTCGAACAGACACACATACTGCACGAACAGACACACATACTGCACGAACAGATACACATACTGTACGTACAGACACATCTCCTGTATGAACAGACATGACCTGCACACCCCCTGGATGAACAGATGTGACTCCCATATCTGAATATTACAACTGTTCGTCCAGGGGCACAACTGTGACCTTTAGAATTGACTTTTACTTTAGTTAGGATGTGACTTTTGACCCAGAGAACATGCCTGTTGATCTGCTTTTCACGAGTTGGGGTTCTGGGCAAGTGACCCCTTTATGCTGCATTTGTCAAACAGGGTCTGAATCGGGTAAAGGCCCTTTTACTTTGGGCAAGACGGTAACTTTCGGCAAGACAATAACTTTGGGCAAGACGGTAACTTTGGGCAAGACAGTAACTTTGGGCAAGGCGGTAACTTTGGGCAAGACGGTAACTTTGGGCAAGACAGTAACTTGGGCAAGACGGTAACTTTGGGCTAGATGGTAACTTTGCAAAAGCCAGCCTGTTGGAGCACATAATTCAAGTGCATCCTGTAACGATTGTCAGGATTCAACACACCCTGATGGGTCCGTGAACACACTGCAAAACTGTCTACCCGGGGCAAGACGGTAACTTTGGGCAAGCCAGCATGTCAGAAAACACATTTCACGTGCATCGTGGAACGACTGTGAGGATTCAACTCACCCTGATGGGTGGCGGCGAGACGGTAGCTTTGGCATGCCAGCTTGTGTCAGAAAACAGAATTCACGTGCATTCTGGAATGATTGTCAGGATTCAACACACACCCTGATAAGCCGGTGAAAGTCCTGCAAAACTGCTCATCACAGTGTTGCTTTTTCTGTGGACTTGTTCTCAACCTAGCTCACCCTGCCTTGCCCATCTTTCCCTGGTCATGGAGGTGCAATAACCCATGCTGTATGCCTCGTGGAAAGTCTGAGGGCTACAGGCCGCACTCAGACCCAGGCCGAAGGGGGGCAAAACACCCCACAAAAAGATTCAGGGCCTGAACAAGATACAGTTGACCAAGTCAACTGTCGGTCTACCCAACAGTCAAAGTCAAAGGTACCCAGCCCAGGCCGCCGGTCAGGCACGCACATTTGTTTGTATGCAGGTACCCAGACAGCATCAGGTCCAAAGGGAAGTCTGCAACTGTACACAATCCAGGCCCTCGGCTGTGAGTCAATCTGGACGACTGTGGGGTAGGGAACCAAGGCCAGACAGCCTCGTCGAACGCTACTTAAAGGCTGGCTTCGAGGTGGTCAACATTCAGTCTTGCTATGCTGCTTTGACACTGGCTCGGCTTTGACTTGACGCTCGCACGCCGCTGGCGAGACGCTGGCTGTGCGCAGGCACTGTGGACAACGACGCGGCTGTGCCAGCATGCTGGCGCGTTCTGTGTACGCCAGGCATTGCTGACGTGGCGCTGCCACCTGTCTTCAAGGCTGATGTGGCGCAGGTCACTTGTCGACATTGTATGATGATGTGGCGCTTCTTCTGGTCTACATTGCATGAAGATGTGGCGCTGCCTCTGGTCTACATTGCATGATGATGTGACGCTGCCTCTGGTCTACATTGTATGACGTGGCGCATGCCACCTGTCTCTACTGCTGACATGGCATTGGCCACGCTGTCTACATGAGATGACTGGTTGTGATAAGGAGGAAGATCGGGATCTGTGGATGATTGGGAAACGGGATACTTACCTGAGGCCGACGTTGATACTGTTCGCTGTTGGCTGTCTTCATTGTCTTCATGTGAGAGTGGTGCCAAGTGGCACTTCGGTGCTACCAGGACTTATCAGACTTGCTACTATTATTTGATTGATGACGTGGAGGGAGAGGAAGCCCGGAGAAGAAGTGGGGTGGTTGGGTTACTATTGTGTGATACTTGACTTCTTCCACCTTCTCCCTTGTCTATCCTCCCTCCACTCTCTTCGTCTGATTGGTAACGAGATACTGTTGCAGATATCATTTTCACGTTAACTGGAGACTTTGTACAGATCTGAGACTACTGGAACTTCGACGACTGTTGAGTATCTTCCTGACTGGGTTCATTACAGAGGGTTTAGTAGAAAACTTAGCAATATTCTTCTCACTTAACTGTAGCTTATCAGCTTGGCAAATGTTCTGTTTTGATTCTTTTGAACTTTTTTTTTTCCCATGCCTGTTTTCAGATGTTTTTTTGTGGATGACGGTAAGACCGGTAAGTTGTGCGAAGCTCGTTGATATTTCTGTCGGCTTAGCGAAAAAATTGTTGTTTTCCTCACTGTCTTTGCTGTCTCATGCTTTGGATGAAGGTAAGCCGTGTTGAGCTCTTGGACGAGGTGATGATCAAGGGTCTCAACATAGGATCAGGACGCTCGCTTCCAGAGAGACCAACACTGATGTTCGAGTTCATTGGAACAGGTCAGCCAACCTCTTTTTTTTTTGCTTTTTTTTAATAAATATCACATTCCAATATGCTGGGGAACGGGCCCAGCGTCCCTTACATCATTGGCCGCGGTCGTCGGAATGAGCAAGGCACACGGGCCAAGCAGACCCCTGACCACAGCAGTCAGCCAACCTCTTCTGTTACAGTAATGTCATAAACGTTTTGATAAGTTCCATCAACTTCATTGCCAAGTGTGTTGACTGTCTGCGGTGACTAACACATCAAATTCAAGAAAATTACCTCTGCTTAGGTCTGCCTGAATGTCCTTGAATATCTATGGATCTCCTGGAGTCGTTAACCAGGAGCTTTGTAGGGGTTGAGTATGGGTGACTTCCTTCTCGAATGCCTTTATTACCTAGGCTACCAGAGTGGCCCGGGACCACTTACCCGGGTCCCGACGTCACGCCCGGTTTGGCGACCAGGTGACCGGCCGGGCATGACCCCTGGGCATGATCCTGGGCAGCCCTAGCGCAAAAAAAAAATAAAAAAAAAAATAAAAAAAAATTGTTCTGTAGAATTGCAATGCAAACAACTTTTGGTTGAAGGTCACATCAGAATTCCTCACGGAACTGAAGGCAAAAAAACAAATAAGTTGAAATAACCAAATCACACTACGGTGAAAGGCCTTCCACGATTCAGACCCCAAATTCGGATCATAGGGTTAGAGGCCCTGGTCTAGAAAGGCCAAATTCATCAAATTCAGAAAAGTCACAGTCAGGTACCTCAGCAGTCCAGTCCAACAGGTACCCAGTAAACAGACACATCTCAGGGGCAAAAGTCACGTCCCATGATGAAAAGTCACATTGAAAAGTCACATCCCACGAGTGAAAGGGCAGTCCCATAAGCAAGAGTCGTGTCTCAGAGGCAGGAGTCACAATCCACATATGCCAAACTCGAAAAGTCACGACTCGAAGGCCCAAGCAGCAGCAGACCAATGGAAATTCGGGAATGTTCCAGGCCTTGACATTCAGAAACAGACAGGCCGTGGGAATGTGGTACCGGAACCCAGTCAGACCAAGGAAGCAGAGGCTGGCACGAGTTGAAGTGCAATCCAAGACTACAAAAGGACTGGCCAGCCTCCCCATTCGGGCAGATTGCTCATTCGCAAGAAGCGTGGAAGTGCTGGTGCACTTGTGCGCTAAGTGAGGAGCAGAACGCTGAAGCCAGAGTGCTGCGCTAAGTGAGGGAGAGAGGGAGAGGAAGATAGCGCTGGCAGGGATAAGGCAGCCATAGCTGCGCCAGTGAACTCTTATTGCTTTTGTAATAACTTGTTGAAATTCATAAGCTGCGCTACCTGGTCTTTATCTCTCCGGTCTCCGGTGTGAAATTTGTGTGATCTCATACATGCATGTGGTATTTATCTGCACACTCATTGGTGATGAACTGTGTGGTTGATAGCAAACTGGTATCGGAGCTGTTGCTGGCTACACCCACTGGTCATCGCTGGCAATGATTAAGGCCGGCGAGAGGGGAGATATGAAGGAGAGTTGAGTGGGGAGAAGACTGACGGGGGGGGTAGAGAAGTAGGCCGAGGAAGAAGGGGCCTGTTGAGTGGTGATTACGTACCTGATTGCTGCGGCCTTGGAGCATTGGAGCGGCTGTGGAGTTTCATCAACGGAACGTTCATTGGAGTGAAGTGCATCCCCCCATCAAACCTGTATTGCTTGCTGATCTGTCTTGGTGTTTGGTACCTTCCTCATCCTATTTTCGCTGCTGCTGGGCTGGACCAAATCTCGTGACATAGTTGAGTCTAGTAACCAGTCCAATCGTAACTGTGAATATATATATATATATATATATATATATATATATATATATATATCGTCATATATATATATGAGGGTTCAGCCTCCTGATGAGTCGGTGAAACTCCGACGAAACAGTTTGTCACAGCCCCTCGTTTGTTGTCTTCTTCTCTCTCTCTGCCTACGGTTTACCGGGCAGTTCTGTTTGTGACGATATATGCTACGACTTCGCTAGCTTCCTGCTACGGTTTTTTCCGGTCAGGTCGAGCGGCAGTGGTCGGGGCCGTTACTAGGCGACCATGCTGTGCCTCTAGTGCCAGCGGTGTGTCTGGAGTGTATTTTTTGGCTGTTACAGACCTTTCTTTGTTT